GTGCCCCTTCGGATCCCTACATTTGCATCTTTGGGGTAAATACTCTTCTATAAGACTGACGAATCAGCTCTTTCTGCAACCATCTTTGTTCCGCGTTCCCCTCACAAAATGCCTGGTAAAGCCACAGAAACCGTCCCTGCTACAGAACAGGAGTTGCCACAGCCCGAGGCTGAGACAGGGTCTGGAACAGAATCTGACAGTGATGACTCAGTACCAGAGCCTGAGGAACAGGATTCCACACAGGCAACCACACAAGCCCAGCTGGCAGCAGCCACTGAAATTGATGAAGAACCAGTCAGTAAAGCAAAACAGAGCCGGAGTGAAAAGAAGGCACAGAAGGCTATGTCCAAACTGGGTCTTCGACAGGTTACAGGGGTTATAAGAGTCACTATCTGGAAATCTAAGAATATCCTCTTTGTCATCACAAAACCAGATGTCTACAAGAGCCCAGCTTCAGATACCTACGTAGTTTTTGGGGAAGCCAAGATCGAGGATTTATCTCAGCAAGCACAACTAGCAGCTGCTGAGAAATTCAAAGTTCAAGGTGAAGCTGTCTCAAACATTCAAGAAAACACACAGACTCCAACTGTGCAAGAAGAGAGTGAAGAGGAAGAGGTTGACGAAACCGGTGTAGAGGTTAAGGACATAGAACTGGTCATGTCACAAGCAAATGTGTCGAGAGCAAAGGCAGTCCGAGCCCTGAAGAACAACGGTAATGATATTGTAAATGCTATTATGGAATTAACAATGTAAACCATCTGAAAATGAGGAATTTTTTTGGTGTTTCAAAAGAATAACTGCAGCTTGGTTTGAAATTTGTACTGTTTCTAACATTAATAAAGTTATGGCTTCTTGTTGGATGAAAAAAAAAGACTCGAATCACTGACCTCTACCTCTGAAACTAATAATATATTATATATTAACTGAATTTAAATTTAAAAGAAAGAAACCCCCCCAAAAAGAGAGATATAATAGATAAACACTAAACAAAAGAGAGCAGTGTAGCTATACAAATATGACAAAGTAGACCTTATGTGAAGAGGAATTTTTAGAGATAAAGAGAAACATTTCATTATGACGTTTTAATCCATGAGATGAACGTAACAGTTCTAAATTTGTATGTACTTAATGACAGAGTCTGAAAAACATGTATTACAAAAACTGACAGAACTAAACAGAGAGATGGATAATTATAATGTGAAATATTTAAGTGCACCAAGAATAATTATTTTCATATATTGCCTACGGATAATTTGATAAACTTTCTGTAAAATAATTTAGCAATATCAATTAAAAGCTTTATTTTAAATAAAATAAGATAGGTGACAACAAGTACACATAAATGTATAAGTGTAAATAAGGAAATTGGGGGAAAGGAACAAAGGAGCAACAAAAATAAGACAAAAGAGAGCAATAGACAAAGTACATTACATAAGGTCATATATATAAATTTTGCAATACCAAATGTGTACATCTAACAAGAGTTTTCTTGTAAGCAAAAACTTAAAGAATTAAAGGGAAGAATAGATGAGCCCACAATCAGAGCTGCAGATTTGAACACCTTGCACTTAGTAATTAATAGAACAAGTAGAATAAACATCAGTAAGAATTAGAATATTCAATCAAACTAGCAAACAATCTAACCTAATGGATATTTATAGAACACTACCCGACAACTCCAGAATATACGTTCTTTCAAGTGCACATGGAATATTCACCTAGATAGACCACATGCTAGTCTTTAAAACAAATCTAATTAATTTAAAAGCTTTTAAATTGTGCAAAATAAATTCTCTGGCAAAGATTATTAAATTAGAAACCAGTAACAAGAAGATACCTAGAAATTGTCCAAATATTTGGAAATTAAATAGTACATTTCTAAACAACTCACATTTCAAAAAGCTATCACAAGGTAAATTAGAAAATATTTTAAATAAGTTATTATCAAAGCATAACATATAAAATTTTGTGAGAGCAATGAAAGTGCTCAGAGGGAAATCTGTAGCTTTAAATGTTGGAAAGGCATAAAATCAGTGGTATAAAAAGTACTGGTATGAAATTCTTTTTTTTAATTCCTTTTTATAGTTGTACAATATAGAAGCTATAGTTTATATAACTAATCTCCAATGTTTACACTTTAAGTATTTTCCATAATTTTGCAATTTCAAATAATTCTGTAATGAATAATTTTATGCATCTGTATTTACACACTGGTGCCGGGTATCTTCAGGGAAAATTCCTAGAAGTGGAATTGCTGACTCAAAAGGTAAATGTATACATAGTTTTGTTAGACATTGCCAAATTCCCTCCAGAATGGTAGTATTTTACATGCTCATGAGTTATAGATAAATGCCTTTTTCCCTACAACCTGACAAACAGAAATATGTTGTTAAGGTTTTCAGTTTTTGTCAGTCTAATGGGTAAGAAATTGCATCTCTATTTTAGTTTGCATATTTCTTATTATGAGTAAAATCGAACATCTTTTAATATGTTCATGGGCCATTTTATATGACTTGTATATCCATGACTTTTGCCCGCTTTTCTATATTTCTTCTGTGATATACATTGCAAATAGTTTCTCCCATTTTGTTATTTGTTCTTTGACTTTACCTATGGTATTGTATTGATAGACACAATTTGGGGTTTTTAAAATGTTTTCAAAGACCGATGTCAAAGAGCTTACTGCCTATGTTTTCTTCTAGAAGTTTTGTGGTTTCAGGGCTTATAAGCAAGTCTTTAATCCATTTTGAGCTAATTTTTGTGCATAGTCTAAGATAGCAGTCCAGTTTCATTCTTTTGCATAGAGCTGTCCAGTTTTCCCAGCACCACTTATCAAAGAGTCTGTCCTTTCCAATTGTATATTCTTGGCTGCTCTGTCATGAACAAATGACCAAATATGCAAGGGCTTATTTCTGCACTCTCTGTTCCATTGATCTATGTGTCTGTTTTTATGCCAATACCATAAAGTTTTTTTTACTATGGCTTTGTAATAAAGTTTGAAATCAGAAAGTAGAATGGCTTTAGCTTTGTTCTTTCTCAAGATTGCTTTGGCTATTCAGGGTCTTCTGTGGTTCCATACAAATTTTAGGATTATTTGTTCTAGGTTTGTGAAAAATGCCGTTGGAATTTTGATAGGGATTACAATGAGTGTGTAGATTGCTTTGGGTAGTATGGATATTTTAACGATATTTGTCTTTCCAATCCCTGAGCATGGAATATCCTTCCATTTGTGTCATCTTCAATTTCTTTTGTCAGTGTCTTATAGTTTTCAGTGTACAGGTCTTTCACCTCCTTGGTTAAATTTATTCTTTTTGGTGTAATTATAATGGGATAGCTTTCTTAATTTCTTTTTCTGATAGTTTATTAGTGAATAGAATGCAACTGGTTTTTCTATATTGTTTTTATATTCTATAACTTTATGGAATTTGTTTATTAGTTCTAAGTATTTTTGGTAGGGCCTTTAGAGTTTTCTATATATAATGTCATATTATCTGCAAATAGTAACAGTTTTACTTCTTTCTTTCCAATTTGGATGCCTTTTATTTCTTCTTTTTTTTTTTTTGTCTAATTGTCCTCAGTAGGACTTCTAACACTATGAATAAAAGCTGAATAAAAGTGGTAAGAAAAATTACAGCATAGGGAATAGTCAATAAAACTGTAATACCATTTTGTGGTGACAGATGGTAACTACACTTACCATGGGCAGAACTAAGTAATACACAGAATTGTTGAATCACTATGATGTACCCCTTAAAATAATACAACATTGCATGTTAACTGTACTTCAATAAACAAAACAAAACTAAAAAGTGACAAGAATGGGCATCCTTGTCTTGTTCCCAATCTTAGAAGAAAAGCTTTCAGTTTTTCACCATTGAGTATGATGTTAGTTGTGGCCTTGTCATATATGGCCTTCATTATGTTGATGTATGTTCTCTCTATACCTACTTTGTCGAGAGTTTTTATCATAAATGGATGTTATCTATCATAAAATCATATTTGGAAGTTTCCATCAATTTAAATATACACTTACCATACATCCCAGCAATCCTACTTCTTGGTATTCAACTAAGAGATATGAAAATATATGTACACACAAAAACCTGTACGTAAATGTTTATTTATTTTTTTAAAGATTTTATTTATTTATTTGACAGAGAGAGACACAGCGAGAAAGGGAACATAAGCAGGGGGAGTGGGAGAGGGAGAAGCAGGCTTCCCGCGGAGCAGGGAGCCCAATGCGGGGCTCAATCCCAGGAGCCTGGGATCATGACCTGAACTGAAGGCAGACACTTAACGACTGAGCCACCCAGGCGCCCCTGTACATAAATGTTTAGAAGCTTAATTCATAATCACCAAAACCCAGAAACAATTCAATAGTCTATCAATTGGTAAATGGATAAATTGTACATTCATATAATGGAATAATACTCATCAATAAAATGAAACAAATTACATGCAAAAGGTTAATGAATATAAAGTATAATATGCTACGTGAAAGAAACCAGACTCAAATGAGCTTCATATGTTATGATTTCATTTATGTGACATTCTAGAAAAGGCAAAACTTTACAGAGTCAAAGAACAGATCTGTGGTTACCAGGAATGAGGGTTCGGGGAGGTGATGGACTATACAAAGACATAAAGGAATATCTGGGGTGATAAATTCTATGTGCTGTTTAGTAATGGTTACATGACATTATTTTCAAGAATTCAAAGAACTGTATGCCTAAAAACAGGTGATTTTACTATATGTAAGTTACAGTGTAATAAACATAAATTTGCCCTAAAACAATGTAGTCAAGAGAGTGGCTGAGGATATATTAAAAACAAAAAAGATAGGCATAAAATCCACTTTGCTAGGTTTTTCAAAAGTTTTAAAAATTATTTTCTAATCATTTATAACTTTCCAATAAATTTAGGTCAGGTATACCTAGAGAATAATCTCAGAGAATAACATATAATCTAGTAATTTTCTAGCACTACTAGAGTAAAACTACCTATGATTCTGAGTTTGGGGTAAGCTTAGCAGTCTTTGCCATATAATCTGGACAAAAATTATATAACCCAATATTGTATTGTTTTATCTTTATATTGTTTCTTACTTACCTGTGTTTTAACTATCTATTCCGGTGTTGTCTTAACATGAAAACCACTGCCTGTCCTTCCCAATATAGGCAGTGGATACATATTAAGTAAAACTTACCTGTGACTTTAGGAATTCTCAATGTATTGCAGAACTTAGTTAAAAATTCTTGAATGGTAATCATGCCATTTTCTGTAATGCAAAGTAAAGTTTGGCTGAAAGACTTACTGATTCTGAATTAATATGTCAGAAGCTAATAGTCAAATTATAATAAAAGTGAAAAGCCTAGGAGTCAGCCTATACTATTCCTTCTTCCTTAACTTCTGCATACATATGATTACCAATTTCCATTTAATTATTTCCAGATACTTCTTGAATGTATCCCTATGCTAGTTAATGCCTGTGCTATTACAACAGCATTGTTAAAACTCTATGCCATTAGTCTCATTTCTCTACATTTATTTTCTGCAATGCAGCAAGAGAGGTCTTTCTCTTTAAAAAAAAAAAAAACCTGGTTACTCCTCTGAATAAAACCCTTCAGTAGTTCCTACTTGCCCCAAAACTACAAAAAAACCCAAAAACAAACAAACAAACAAAAAACACATCATGGGTAGGGTAAGAGGCTATAGACCAATATTCCTTACAAATGTTAAAGTCTAAGTAAAATACTAGAAAGTAGGATTTAGCAGTATATCTAGAAATTAAAGTTCTAGATACTTTCAAGACATACATTCTCATGGAGAGCAACAGGCTTTCAAGGAGAAAAACCAGTTCTTAGAGGAGGAGAAAAAAATCTTAGCTATTACAATGGTTTGTGGCCACACTACATCAGCAAATATTTATCTGTGGTGTTAAATGTTCATGGGCTATGGGGTGGTAAAAAAGAACAAAAATGTCCAGAGTCCAGAAATAAACCCCCACCAAGGGAGCCAAGAACATTTAATGGAGAAAGGATTGTCTCTTCAATAAATGGTGTTGGGAAACTGGATAACTATATCCAGAAAAATGAAATTAGGGCTCCATCTTATACCACTCACAAAAAAGTTACCTCAAAATGGATTAAAGACTTAAATGTAAGATCTGGTATTGTAAAATTCCTAGAAGAAAATATAAGGAAGCAGCTTTCAGACACCAGTCTTGGCAATGATTTTTTGAACATGACACCAAAAGCACAAACAACAAAAGCAAAAACCAACAAGTGGGACTACATCCAACTTAAAAGCTTTTGTACAGAAAAAAAAAATCAGCAAAATGGAAAGGCAACCTACAGAATGAGAGAAAATATTTGCAAACCAAAAATCTGATAAATAGTTAGTATCCAAAATATATAATTCACACAGCTCAATAACAAACAAACAAGCAAACAAAATGATGAAAAAAATGGGCAGAGTGACTGAATAGACATTTTTTTTCCAAAGAAGACATCCAAATGGCGAACAGGTACATGAAAAGGTGTTCGACATCACTAATCATCAGGGAAATGCAAATCAAAACAACAATGAGATATCATTCACACCTGTTAGAGTGGCCATCATCAAGAAGACGAGATGAAGATTTGCATGGATGTGGGGAAAGGGAACCCTCATACACTGTTGATGGCAATGGAAATTGATGCAGCCACTATGGATAACAGTATGGAAGCTTGCCCCAAAATTAAAAATAGAACTACCATATGATCCATCAATCCCCCTTATGGGTATACGTGAAAAAGATCTTTGAGAGATATCTACACTCCCATGTATTTTGCAGCATTATTCACAAAAGCCAAGATATGGAAACAACCTAAGTGTCCATCAACAGATGAATAAACAGATGTAGCATATATATATACATATACAACGGAATATTATTCCACCATGAGAAAGAAGGAAATTGTGCCATTTGCAACAACATGGATAGGTCTCGAGGGCATTATGCTTAGAGGAGATAAGCCAGACAAGGACAAATACTGTATATATCACCAAGTGGAATCTAGAAAAGCCAGTCTCATAGAAACAGAGTAGAATGGTTGTTACCAGCAACTTGGGGAGTGCGTTCAGTTGGGGAGATGTTGTTAAAGGTACAAATTTGCAGTTGGAAGATGAGTAAGTTCTGGAAATTTAATGCTGTGCTGACCTAATATTGTATTATATACTTGAAAGTTGCTAAGAGACTAGACCTTAAATGTTCTCACCACAAAAAAGAAATTATAATTATGTGATGTGATAGAGGTGTCAGCTAACACTATGGTGATAATCATATTACAATATATATGTATCAAATCAACACAATGTACACCCTAAACTTACAAAATATTCTATATCCATTGTATCTCAATTTTACAAAAAGGAAAAGAAAAATTCTGTGGAGACTGAGTGAAAAAAAAAGCTCCAAATCACTAATACCGAGAATGAAAATGAAGATATTATTACAGATCAGGCAGACATCAAAAAAGATAAAAAGTGAGGTCAAGGACAACTTTATCCAGTAAATTTAAAAAGTCAGATGAAATGGACAAATTCCTATAAAAATAGAGCCTGCCAATATTAACAAGAAAATATAATATTTTCTTTGTAATCCCATACAATTTAAGAAATTAAATCAATAGTCCAGAACTCTCCCATAAATAAATCTCTAGGCCCATTAGGCTTCACCTGTGGGTTCTACTTAACATCTGAGGAATCTCTTACAGAGAATAGAAAAATAAAGACTACTCTCCATCTCTTTTGAAAATATAGCAAAGATAATATTCAACAATATCAGTCATTAAAATAATGAAATTATTTTGTACATTTATAAATATCTGCGTCCCTGAGCCAACACCATGTGCAATACCCCCAGAGGTATTCCTGGATATCAGCATAGTTTACCTTCCAAAGGGCTGACACCTGGCAAAGGGCCTCAAGGACTCTTTTGTATTCCGTGCACGGCATTCTGACTGAGTACTATCCATGCCAGTCAGTTCAAAGTAACCTCATGTCCCAAGTACTGCCACCTACAGGTATAAAGTAGGCCCTGACTTACCCCTCCGTTTGGTTTCACAGGGCTCAGGCTTGACACACCAGGGCAGCAGTGATGTTCCCCAGTCATCCCACTGCAGCTCCCATAGGATGCCTTCCATTGCTGTGTATCCCATCCATACATCTCCCACCCCCACTGGTAGATGAAGGCCTTTATAACACAGATGCATTCAAACTACTCACCAGGTTCAGGTTCATGTCTTAATACTTCATTAAGTAAAACATTAGCTGCATAAAAGTCATTGTTCATCAATAATGCTTTGAGTTCAGAGGCATCAATTAGATCATTCTGGAGAATTTGGGTAGTAGCTAAGAGTAGCTGTGTAGCTGCAAAAAAAGAGCAAGAACAAATATTTCAACAGCAGAAATAAGAGTATATTATTCACTTTCACTTAAAAAGCTTGGGTTGCATAAAAAAATTTATTTTGTTTCATTTTTTTAAAGATTTTATTTGAGAGAGAGTGCATGTGCAAGAGAGCTCGGGGGGGGGGAGGGATGAGGCAAAGGGAGAGGGAGAAGCAGGCTCCCCACTGAGCAGGGATCCCGATGCAGGGCTTGATCCCAGGACCCCGGGATCATCACCCGAGCTGAAGGCAGATGCCCCACTGACTGAGTCACCCAGCGCCCCAACATAACAGAATTTTACATGAAACTACCAGTATAGTTTTAAAAACCATTATGTATTATAATAGCTAGCAGTTACTGAAAACTTACTAAGTGCTACAGACTGTTCTAAGTACTTCTACTTTACATATTTAAGCCTTATTACAATTCCAAGATAGGCATTATTATCCCTATTTTTCAGATGAAGAAATGAGGTTAAGTGATTTACTAAAGAATGTATTGGTAGTAAGTGGCAGGGCCAGGATTCAAGTCCAAGCACCATAGTTCCAAAACCCATGCTCTTAACTAATGTGCCTTTCAAGTTGACATATGTAAGTGGTCAACCTTTCTACCTTTGGCTACATAATACTTCATATGTGGCCTCTGAAATAACTGTGAAGCATTACAAATGAGTTTACATCAAAATTTGCATTATTTCACTTAAAGTTATGTTACAGAGACAAAATAGACAAGAAGCAGCAGCAGCTGCTGTTGCAGCTACAAGTCATGCTCTTTGTATTTATCTTATAGCCCCACAAACCCTGACAGCTTTGGTTGCTTTCCAATGCCTTCAAACAGTTGTGGTTGTTGATGCTGTTTAATTTAGTCCAGATATTACTAGTTATTCTCAGCAGGAGGGTTGGTTTGATAGAAGCTACTCCATCATAGCCCAGAAGTAGAACCAGTGGATCAAGCGTACATGTAATTCTGATGCTGCTCTGGTTAAAGATTATTGCTTAGGTTATTTCTTTACCACAAAGCTGTAGTAATCATGACCATGTGGTACTGGCATAAGAATAAATAAAAATCAATGGAATGGAATTGAGAGTCGAGAAATAAATCCATACACTTACAATCAATTGATTTTTGACAAGGATGCCAAAACCCTTTAATGGGGAAAGTATAATCTTGTCAACAAATGATGCTGGGATAACTGAATATCTGCATGCAGAAGAACTAAAGTGGACTCCCATCTCACACTACATACAAACATTAACTCAAAGATTGAAATTAAAAGGCTAAAACTATAAAACTCTTAGAAGAAAAAATTAGTATAAATCTTCATGATCTTGGATTATCTTTAGATGTGACATCAAAAGAAGTGACAAAAGAAAATATAAATTGGATTTCACCCAACTTAAAAACTGTGCTGAAATCAGTGGCATTTCTATACATCAATAACAAGACAGAAGAAAGAGAAATTAAGGAGTCGATCCCATTTACAACTGCACCCAAAACCATAAGATAACTAGGAATAAATCTAACCAAAGAGGCAAAGGATCTGTACTCAGAAAACTATAAAATACTCATGAAAGAAATTGAGGAAGACA